CTATGTAACCGCTTTCAGGCTACTTCCTAGTCAGATAGTCACGATTTTATGCTCTATGTCCTCCTTGACACATGGCAGAATTTACGATTCGAGTATACGAAAATATTTACGAAACATACGTTATGGCATGTTGACATTGCATAAATGCATAATTTAAATATTTAGAGAAAAAAAAACGCGGCGTCACCATAACGTTTCTGCTAGATGTAAGCTAGTGTTACTGGCAGAAACAAACAATAGTTCAACTGTTGATACTTACTTCCTGGGATAACTGGCATATCTTTGCTTTTTGATCAAGGAATCACAAAAAGTGCAGCAAAACAAATAGTTAAATTTGTTTTTTGGTCTCAAGTGCTGGTATATTTATCCATGCTAAGACAACAATATAAACAATGCAATCAATTTCTATATAGAATTACACATTACACATTTTAACTTTTCTGGAACGCAGAAAAGTCAGATCAGTCTCAGTGCAATCTGGAGTAACGACTATCTTGAATTGATGTTGAACTAACTTTTATGGACGACCAGATTCAAATCCAAGGCAAAGACGAAAGTTTTTTGATTGTTATATTTTCCCAGGGCGCGCGTATCGGAGCGAAATAACATAAGCTTTTCCCCTTATTTTCTACTGAAAGGTGCAACTCCAGTCTGTACGAGCTGTAATTTTAATTTTCTTTTTGTTACTTAGCATATGTTTATTTTGATTTGAAAATAAAAATTTATTTTAGAATTTGGGAAAATAAATACATGCGATTTTCACTAGGTTCATTCATTTGATCCCTCGATTACAATGGGTATAAAGTTGTCATGAGTTTTATTACATCCAAGTTCAATAATATATAGATTTGATTGCACGCCTGATTCATTTACAAACAAAATTATGCTAGCGGTTTGTTGCCCCTGAGAACTATTAAGCATGAAAAGAAATCTTCCCGACGAAAGCTGCGACATATCAACTGTAAAAACAATTGCCGAAAAAGTATTTGTAAAAAAATGTTAGAAAAAATAAATTTATTTTTTTTTTCGTTTTTATTGTCATCCAAACGCTATGTAAGTGTAAATAGTACAATTGAGAACATGAGAACAATTCAAGTGAAAAATTATTGGCCACTTTGAAATTAATTTTTGAACCCCAGTTTGAGATATAACCCAAATGTAGGAATGCCTGTACTTGATTGCAGAAAAAAGTGATCATTTTGTTAAAAAATTTAGTAATCGGAGGCAATTTGAGATGTAAATAAAATTTGCGACTTTCGAATTCCGTCGCTCTGCTGACTTTTCTGTCTGAAAAAATCAACTGAACTCCAAATTACAAGCAAATAATGTTCCGACTTTCAGAGAAAATGACAGATCATCTATACTCCTTTTCTGAAAGTCGGAACAGTAATTGCAGCAGCACAAGCTGCTCGTTATTAAATTGACTATATTTTAAACTTCAGTTGATTTTTTGTCAGACACAATATTCATCAGAGCGAATGCAAGGGTCGCAATTTTTTTAGGTCTCGAATTGGCTCCGATTATCAAAATTTTGAACCAAATATTCAAACTTTTTTTTCTGCTATCAAGTACAGGCATTCTCACAATTTGTTTATAGCTCAAACTTGGGTTCAAAAATTAACTTCAAAGTGGCAGATAAAATTTCATTTGAATTTTACACTCATGCACTAACTCGTGTGTTGCTATCTCTCAAGACAGTTCAAATCCTATTTCTACTAGATAAATTTATCCTCTGGATTCAACCCTGGCTTTAACCTGGGATTCTTGACAAATTAATTTCAACCCGGCAAAGCACCGGGTGCAATAAAACTACTATGCTAACTTTTCCCAAACTTAAGCCCCCCTTACCTATACGGCTACACGAACTGAAGTTTATAAGTTCTTTTTACGTGGGTTTTCTCATTGCAAAATATGATATCACGTTTCAGTTTTATTAATATAAACTTGCGCCCGATTTAATAAAAATGAATTTGCGGGTTTCAGCTAAATTGTACGGAATGTACGCTTAAATAGTATTAAAACTAAATTTGGGTCACTGGAAAACTTGAAGAAATATGTTTTTAATTGAACTCAATATATATTATGATTAGTTTATAACCAAATACAGAGTTCAACTTTTGACAATGTGAAGTAGCTGCAAAAAGCAGTTCAAAGTAACTTGAGCCAGATTAAACCCAAAATTATGAAAAACTTCTTTTCCTCCAAGTTTCTATTTGTCTGTTTTGTTATTTTTATCAGCTTTTTGTTTGTATCAAGCCAAGATGCAGGAACTTATAAATTTATCAAATTCATCGACAAGAATTTCGCGTTGGGGCAGATAACAGGTAAGGGTTTGTGCAAATTTTCATATTCGCAATCATGACGGCCTACATTTAGTGCAAGCGCGATGCACAATACTTGGAAAAGACTCTAGTAATCTAGCAAAATGCAAACAAACTTGTTTTCTTGCTTACTGTAAAATGATTTTTTTTTGCTGAAAAAATTATAAGCATTTTTAATTTTGTGGAATGATTAAATGATTAGTGTCGAGAACCACCAGCTTCTATACTTTTCGGAAAAAACTAATTTTCTTCAAAACAGTTTGATTCATTTCATGGAATTTATGCTAATTTTTGCTTTGACTTAAGTGACCGAAAACTTTTGAAAACTCGGTTTTCAAATTGAAAAAATGACTGAGTAACTTCCGAAGTCATTTCCGAAACTTTCGTCATATCAAAAGCTTGTAATTGTTCCGACTCCAAAGAAAATTGAGGATGTAGTGCTTCAGTAAGTTTTTCTCTTCATAAAAATTTCGGCAAAACAAAAAAGGGCAGATTTTCTTACTCAATAATAAATCAGTTTCCAGTCGTCATAACTGAAATGATTTTATCATGTAGAAATGATTTTTCTGTAAAGTGAGACACTTCTTTATGCATATTTCCATATTAGTTTGAGTAATATTCAGTTGATTTGAACTAATATGCACTAAAATGACAAAACTGTTACATAAACCACGCATAGACAAACCTGATCTGTATTTCTCCTCAGATCCAAAAGTTAATCGTTTTGTCAGTTCGAGGCTATTGATGAGTAAAAGCTTCCTTCTTAAGGGCTCAGGGCAAATCAGAATTTTTACAATTAAGCCTGACATTTAGCAGTGCAAAAAATCGAGTTGAGCTTACTATGCTCGCAAGAATAAAAAAAAATTGTTTTAGAGGGAATATTTGTGGAGACACACAGCAAATGGTGCACCCCTAGAAATTTGGAGGATGTTTGGTGTCAGGATCGTCTTTTCAATTTGGCAGATTTTCCTGCTCCATGATAAATCTTAGTTCCAGTACAGTGCTGATTTAAATTATCCGGACAAAATGAACAAAACTTGAATTTTTAAACACGTTTTGCTCAAATCGGGTTATGATTAGACAAAACATGAAGAGAACAAAAGTTGCTAAGAATTTCATCAGAATTAATTTGGTGCCATTTTTTTTTTGAAATTCTCAGCCAAAACTTTACCCCGAAATGGGATCATTTTGGCTTTTTTGAATTTATCAAAAACTACTTTGTTATTTGATGAGAAATATATATAACAAGAAACCTATTACACAGCCAAACAAAATTCTACAAGAATTAAATCTCCAAAAATTTGAGAAAAGTGTTTAAATGTTGTTTTAAGCAAAAATTTTGGGTTTTATATAGTAAAAATCACATTTCTTGACTGTCAAGCAACAATATTTTGTCTTATACAGGTTTTTAGATATCAAACCCTTGTAAAACTTTGCTGGGCTGTGTAAGATGTTTCTTGTGCTATATATATTTTGTCAATTAACAAACTAGCTACAGCATAATTTCTGATTAATTGAAAAAAGCCAAAATGACCCATTTTGGAGTAAAATTTTGGTTGAGAATTTTGGAGAAAAAAATGCTTCATAATAATCCCGATGAAACTCTAAGCAATTTTTTTTTCTTCACTTTTTGTCGAACCTTAACCCAAATTAGGAAAAAAATGTTTGAAAATTCAAGTTTTGTTCGTTTGTCCGGATAATTCAAATTAGCACTATATTCATAATTGAAAAAATTTTATCCTAGCCCTTTAGCTTTTATTTTAAAGTGAGGTACTTATTTATTTTTTTTTCTATGTTTGCATGATCCGTTGCTATGATTTGGTTGAAGAATCACTTGGTAAAAAAATCGTTCTTTGAGTTTTTCAATTATTTAAAAAACATTTTCGAATTTTTTAATGTTTATGGTTCCTAAAATGGCCTAAAAACTCCAAAAATAATGATACTCGAGAAAATTTTAATTTTCAAGGTTTATTTTGAGCACAAATGGGATAATGCAAGCCTGCTCTATCGCTCGAATTTTGACAGGAAATCAAAATTGTCAAATCAGTTTTTTCGACACTGAGGAAATGTTTGCTAATGTCGTTCGAATTACATTTTATAAGGCTTTAATATGATATATTACTCGACCCATACCAATGCTCATTTGTAGTATCTGATTTGAGTGGTAAACGAAAAAGTGAAAAACAAAAAAAAATGAAACACCCAAATATAAAGTTCCTCCCCATTTTCAGGGGTCGGAACAAGAACTAATGAATGGATTTCAAATATGTTGGTTCCAGCTTAAATTGCGAATAAAAATTTGAAGTACTTTCCCCAAATGCTTTGGCGTTTGCGTTTAGGTTTCAACAGTTTTGTTCATATAAGTTTAAGCAAAAAATATTATGCACTGATTTCCTTACAATGCCCGAAGCGGGGAGGATGCAACGGCTTATTAGGTAACTGGGCATAAGGTTTCAAAAATTGGAAATGTAAGCTTCCTGTACCGCGAAAAACTAATTCATTGAAAAACCTAGAAACTGCACTAATGGATCATTTTTCCTCAACACTGCCTGCATTTTTGCAACAATTGTGTCTTTTTTTTTGGTGTTTCAAGAGAGCTCAAAAAGTCTTCGATTGAAGTTGCAAAAAAGTCGACAAAATTTATAAAACCAGGTTTTCGGTTAATATTTTAATCTTGTCTTAAAATCTGATGCCTTGTGCTCAATAAAAAAAGTTTCTCAAACTGCTTTAGTTTTGTTGAAAGTTGATGAGCGTTTGAAAAACTCTAATTCAACTAGTTGTGCTATTTCATTTTCTACCTCCAACACAAAAAAAAACGAGTTGAAACAAATGACTAGCCAAGTAAAAGCAATATCAGACGCAAAATAATGTAAAAGTAATGATTTTGTGTATGTGGCGACACTTCAAATTGAAATAAACAAAATTTTGAAATGTTTTGCTTTTTATTGAGTTTTTTCTAGATAAAATTATCGCAAAAGACTTGATTCAAAATTAGGCTTGCGCAAGCATTTAAGGTCGACCCCAATGTTGAGTATTTTGTTAATTTATAAAATAAATAGCAGTACCAAAATAAAGACCAAAATACTTTTTTCTATTAAAAAATATCTGACTGTCATTGAAACAAGCGAGCGGATCTATGATTTTCTTAATGGGGAGGGGCGCGGTTTTTCAGGAAAATTGAAAATTTTGTCAACTGTTTTTCTAGGTTTTCTAGGTTCAAGAAATTATTTTTCCGAGGTGTTCCACTACACTACAGAGACTCTATTCTTCTAAAAAAAAATTCCAAATTTTTTATTTCCCAAATTGCGAAAACATTATGTTTCATTAACGTGCACTTCCCCTTAAAATATTATATATTTGGCGCCGAGGATAATTTTTGAAAAATTTTGCTGTCAGTCCGCTGAAAATGGTTTTGCACTTCAACTCTGTCCCTGATATTTTTTTTCGTCATATATGGAAATAAATTTTCATTACTTTTGTATCAAATCATTTTCAATTTTAATCAAACTTTGCTCTCGGGGTTACTTTTAAGCTCGCCTGTGAACAACAATGCCTGACAATCAAAAACAAAAGTACTGTAGCAGCAAAAATGGCAAATAATGCTGAAATTATTATCCAATTCCAAGCGTTGAACACTTTTCGACTGTTGATTTTGTACGGCAAACGATACCTCACCGAAACTCGTCTTTTTGCTGCGACTTTCTCGATGAATTTATTGATTAGTTCTGGTTTCTCGTATACTGAAAACTCATCGTAAATTGTTTCCAGATGTTTTTGATAGAAGTCGTAATTTTCCATTATTGTTTCAATAGCTTTATCGACGTTTTCAAAATCGAATTTCTGGGCAGTGACCCCCAGATATAAATTTTCCATGAAAATTGAGTGCATAGGTTGATCGAAAAACCGTGGAACGAAAATTCCAGGCACTTTTTGTTTCATCATGTCAACCGATGAACCTAGTCCAGCATGGGTCACAAAAATTTTGACTTTTTCATAACCCAAAAGAGTGTATTGAGGCAAAAAATCGCTAAGGTAGATTTTTGGGTCACTTCGAGAAAAAATTGACATCTCTTCTGCGGTTTTTTGAAGGCCCAGACTCAAATACCAGATAACTCTGTACTTGTTTTGGGAACGAACTTTTTCGTAGAATGACTTCAGTTCCTTGCCAGATATGATTGCATGAGTTCCAAGCGATACATAAACAATAGGTAAATCATTTGAATCGATCCATTTTTTCAAGTTAGGGTCAAATTCGCCCGCATATTTTTCGTCTCTGAACCCCCCGATGTAAACATAATCTGCACTAGAATGGGGTTTGGGGTAGAACGAAGGAACGGTAGGAATGAACATAGGAAAACGACTGGCGTATTCGTTCAAAGTGAAATGACCTTGAAAATCCAACGGTGGTAATTTATTTTCAAATCTTTTGGTATCAAGCCAATCCCAACAATTTCGATAACTGACTTTCATAACTAGACTATCAAAAACACTGTATGGTATTTTGTCTTGGATATGTTCTAAGCCGCCTGGCACACCTGGCATTTGAACGATTGCTGGAAGATTAAACTTTTCTGCAACAACCAAAGAAGACCAAAAAACTTGGTTGGTTATTAGAAGATCAAAATCGTTTCTCCTCTTTTTCATTATATCTGTGAATAGCATGTAGGTTTGGTTGAATAATTCCAGAACACTTGGACAAAATTTCATCATAAAATCTAATTTGTCATCATACCAATATTCATCGGGCAAAACATGCTTTTTGATCACATCTAGCTTTAGGTTTTTGTGATACGGTTCCAGTTTTTTAGTACATAAGTTAGTAGTCGTAACTAAAGTGCAATTATGTTGGGTACAAATTGTCTCGAAAAGCGACGACATTGTAATAAACTGACCGCCATTACAGGGTAAATGGAACAGAATGTTTAAGGCCGCACAAGGTAGAAAAAACGTCAACAACAAAATCAACGATGGTGCTAAAATCTTCATTTACAAAGTTTCTTATAATCAACCAAAGAAATTATAAATTCGTTGCCGGTAAACTTCAATAAATAATGAAATTATAAGCCTTTAAGTTTAAGCATAAGAGTTTGGCCAATAATGCTCCGAAATCCTTTTTGCTTATCTTTTTGTTTCTCACAACGGTCAACAAAGTAAACCGGATAACTTTTTGAAGTTAAAATGTTGAATCATAATTGTTTAAGTGTGATCCTCAAAATTTTGGCTTGGTAACTACTATATAAGCTTTGTTGGCAAGAGATTTGGTATTAAAGTATGAATAACCTGCATATTTGACCTAAAGAATGAAAACTATTGAAGTCTGACTTTTTGGGCTTATACGCCGTCTGAAATACCAAAGCTACAGATAGTTTGTTTGTTCAGCTTACGTCTTTCTCAACGTTGAGATAACAAACTAAGACAACCTTTCAGATCGAATATTTGAAGATAAATTGAAAAAAGATGATAAAACGATTTAATTCGTTAGAATACTTCAACAAGAGAATTTGAAAGAATGAATGTTAAGGATACAAAACGAAGAGGTTTGTATAATAAGTTATAACAGGTTTATAAAGTGACTTTTTCACTTGAGGGGTTTGAAATCAAACTCAGACAATTTTATTGCAAGCAGTTGACTAGTCTCTTCAGGAAAAAGTTTTGATAAATTAAATTATCAAAAAAAAAGAAATAGCAAAACTAAAATCAAATCAAACAGCTCGTGTTTTAGTGGAAGTTTCAGCAAAATCATTAAAAAATTTAACGTAATTTTACATCAACCCAATTCTAATAGATATTGTAGATTTCCATAGTTATACCGAAGCAAGCCTGAAGCACTTTAGTTTCTTTAACAAAAGAAACATATTGTCTGCAGAAAGGAAATAAATTTTCCTAATTAGCAACAATTGTTTCCGGATGTTTTTTGTATGCTTACGCTTGGGTTTAATAATTGTTATTTCGAGTTCGTTAACAATAAATCAATGCGTGTTCAAATTAGAGAAAAAATCCAGTTAAATTTTCGGTTGAACTCGCACTGACAAAAATGGATTAGGATCGATTTTAGTATGAAAAAAGTACGTTGAATAAATTTAGATCGATTTTAGTATAAAAAAGTACGTTGATTAAATTTAGATCGATTTTAGTTGGAAACAAGTACGAAGATTAAACAAAAAAAGATGAAGATTGTTTTGGATCGATTTGAAATCGATTTAAAATGATCTCAAATCCCAGCTAAAAGAAATTGATCCCAATCGATTTTAAATAATTTAAATGCGTTTTTTTTTCAGTCTGAATTTATTTTTATTTTCAAGGAGATTAAAACGAATTTAGTTCGATTTAAATCAATTTTTTTATTCGAGATTTATCAGTTTCGAATTTTTATTGCATTTATTCATTGCCTATAATTTTTCATTTTACATCCATAGCGTATTGTAGCATAAAACAGACCAAATAAACAGACCAAAAAATCGATAAATTTCTATGATATTCTTGCATATTTTGAGTTTAAAAACTGATCTATATTGACCCTTTTCTTGATTCGTTTTATAAGTTTTGACCAAAATCTGATTTATCTTCATAATTTTCTATGATTTAATGGCATATTAATGAGATCAAACTTTAGTTTGTTCTGGCCCTTTTCTTTTTGTTACATAGGATTTACAATAATATTCTATAATTTCATTGCCTATCTTCGAGTTTAAAATCTGATTTATGTGGTTGATTTTATTGAATTTTTTAACATCTGGCACGAGTGTTTATATTTAAAAAATCGAGATTAAAAAATTCCAACTATTTTTTTGAAGGGTATGTTTTTTTCGCCTTGCATTTTAGTGAGTCGGAAAATCCATCTAAATTGATTTAAATCAATTTTTTAGACACTTAAATCGATCGGAAACCATTTTTGTCAGTGCGGGTAAGCGGAACTTTGCTGTACGAAATAGCTGAAATATTTTCAGGTGTCAAGAAATTTTTGATTTGAAGCTTGAAAAATATTCTCTATCCGCTCTGGCGTTACAATCTAATGACTATCGTGTACGACACCAAGCTCGATTGCTTTGGTTTTTCGCTGGGCTTCACTGGATTACCTTGATTCTGGTTCGTGTCTGGGTTAACCACTTGTCAATATGGAATCTGCTACAAATTCTTACTAGCAATTGAAACTTTGAAACAATATGTACAGAAAATAACAAAATTTAGAAAATTCAAATTCGAATATTGCTATTTTTGTCATCAATTAAACCAATAAACTTAAAAAGAGCTGGAAAAAACTCTAAGAAAGAAAAGAAATGTTTGCTCTTGCATCTTCTTCAAATCTTAATTTATGGCAAGCTGCTGGTTTTCTAACAAATTGATTGATGGTTAAAAAAAACGCAAAAACACTGCAATTAAACGCAAAAATCTTACAGCAATTAAAGAAACCCAAAGCACAAAATTATTGTCCGGAGCAGAAGACTTAGAAGACGTGATGCAAAAATTGGTAATGCGCGAAAAATGTAACAATCGACAACTCGTAACAAGCGAAAATTTTTTCAGGAATAGATAAAATACTATTCCTCTCGTGCCGAAAGTAAACGAAGCGAAGCAAGCATTTGCTCCTTGTCAGCTACGAATTTTTGCTCATTCCAAACTTTTCGCCGCCCGTTACAATTTTTTTTGAGATTTTAATTTCAAAAAAAAAATGAGATCGGATGTTTTTAAATAGACAAAAATGTCGTTATTAATGAAAAAATAAAAAACAAATCCAATAAATTACTTTTAAGACTCAAGATTTTTGTTTTTCTCCCGTATCATACTTTTTTAAATCTGCCAATTAATCTGCTTTTGTCTCCTTGCTTTCTCTCCCTTTTCTGAAGCAGCATTTCCTTGCGCACCAGTACATCGTTAGAATAAACAAAATTAGCAAAGCTACTGCCAAAATCTGTATCGCGTTCCAGGCCATGTAAAGTCTCGGACTGCTTACTTGATACTCGAGCTCCAATTTAACTGTGGTCTTTTTGCGAGCAGCTATCTTTTGAATGAAGTTATCAATCATTTCTGGATCTTCATACTTTGCAAACTCGTCGCTAATTTTTTCCAGGTTCTTGTAGTAAAAATCATAGTTGTCAAACACTTTTTGAATTGCGTTGTCGACATGTTCGAAATCGAAACTTGACGCCGATACTCCGAGTGATAAGTTTTCCATGATAATTGTGTTCATAGGCTGGTCGAAAAATTGAGGAACGAAAACCCCTGGAATTTTTTGCTTCATAAGTTCAATAGCTGACCCTAGTCCTATATGGGTGACAAAAACTTTGACCTTTGGATGACACAAAAGAGCGTATTGGGGTAAGTAGTCACTGAGTAAAATTTTGTTGTCCTTTTGTGGGAAAATTCCCAATTCCTTAGCAATGTTTTGAAGACCCAAACCAAGCGACCAAATAAGTCTATATCGGTTTTGCTTATGCATTTTTTCGTAAAAATCTTTAAAAACTTTTTTGTCCATTGTTACGAATGTTCCGAGGGAGAGGTAAACGATATCAGCATCGTCAGAATCGATCCAAGTTTTCAAGTCGTTGTCAATTTTTGGAAGATCCTCTTCGTCTCTGAACCCCCCAGTGAAAACAAACTCGGCGCTCGGGTGGGGCTCTCCGTATAGTGAAGGAGTGGTGGGTAAGAACAAAGGAAACCGATCCGTAAATTCGGTCATACTAAATTGACCTTGAAATTTCATCGGGGGTAAATTGTACTCATTTCGTTTGTCCTCAATCCATTTCCAGCATTTTTGGTGAAAGAGACTGAAGATAATACTTTCACCAACGCCTACCGGAATTTTATCCTGCAAATGCTCCAAACCTGAAATTGAAAACAATATTATTTATAGCTTTTAATATTTTCGAAAAAAATCTTAAATGTTTTAGGATATCGAGTGACCTTTTAAATTGCTTTTTATGCTTCTTTCGATCAAAAAAGCAACCCGGCGTCACTGTCTACTGACATATATTAAGTAGCTAAGAGTTTGCAACATGAGTTGTTAATTAAAAAAAGCAATCTGTCATTTTAATACAACGTTTCAGGCAGAATTAATTAACAAGAGCAATATACCATCACTTATTACAAACTTTGAGCGCAAAAATGATACTTTAGACAAGCTTGGGTATAAATTGTATTCATAAGTTAACTCATTCTGTTCTCTCTGCTTAATTGCAACTCTCTATAATTCTAAAGATTTGAACGACAAGTTTGACTTAAAAAGCTCGTTTTTTTTTCAAAATTTTAATCCGTTTGATAAGAAATTTGTTATCAAAAAAGGATGTTTCGAACCTGAAGGTAACCCTGGAGTAGATACAATTGTAGGTATATTGTATTTTTCAGCCAAAACCATAGTAGCCCAGAAGATTTGATCCGTTATAAAGACATCGAATTCGGTCGCCCATTCCTTCATGATTTTGTCAAATGCGTCATGGGTTTTCTCGAATGTATCAACGACAGAGGGGCAAAATGTGAGTAGAAATTTGAACCCGCCCTCGAAAGAATACTCATTCGGTAAAACATGTGCTTTTATGGATCGGAATTTGATCTGTTATTACCAACAGATTACAATCGCGGATTCCTAACGACGAGGTTTGTCCTCTTGTGGCTAAGTTATCTAATCAAACCGGCTCCCCGTCAAACGGCTGACCAAATGGGTTTTGTGGCATTTTTTGTTTCAGGGCAATTTAGATCTACAGCATTTTTAAATCTTTTTTTTTGGTTTTACAGCAATTTTTGGAAAATTTTGACCAAAATCATTTGCCTTTAAAATTATCGGAAACAGCTTTTGTTTACTTGCAAATTCGAGGTTTTTTTTATAGAAAAAAAGGTGTTAATTTATTTGAGATTTTCATTTGAATTTGAATTGTTTTTTTTTTTCAAAACCCAACTATCCTTGTTGGACTAAGGTTTATAACCTAAATTCAACTTGAAGAAAAACTTGAAAATGTTTTTGTTCTGCGTTTGCCGGAGATTTCAACAAGATGCCCTATTTGATTTAGCTTTCAGAATGGAGTTAAAACTGACCCTACTTTTTACAAGATTTAATTGCACTATTGTAATCGGAGAGGCTGACGTTTTTTTGGTAAGACTTCAGCTTTCGTTCACACATTTGTGCTACCTCAATGACCGTACAATTGTGACGTGAACAGATTGGACCCAAAAGAGACGCCATGGTCACAAAGTTGCCTCCATGGCAGGGTAAATTGAAAAGAACATTTAGAGAAAAACAGGGCGTAGAAACGAATACAAAAACGAGAAGTATATTTAAAATGAAAGAAATCTGCATGATGAAAATATAAAGTAACTTCTTAATTTTACGATTGAATCTCTAATTGTTCCGACTTTCGATACGAAAGTAACGGAATATTTGTGCTCGGGGTGGGTTTTTTTTTTCTTCAGACAAACTTCGACTTTTTAACTAGCCATTTTTGACGGAATTTTTTTATATCATTCAAAAGGTATTGTTGTCCTGAGCTTAAATTTGAAAAGATATTTCACCTGTGATCATTTTTCGTGAAAAATATGGGGGTTTAAAGATTGCCATTTTGACCAATTTGGGACAATTAACGCGCGATATAATTCGCGCTATTAACGCGTAAGCGGAGATTTAATCCGTCTTATAAATCGTTCCAAATTGGTTGAACGAAGCTTATTTGCTATAATTGATTTGTTACAAGGAACCAAATCTCTCTTTTTGTACTTTATATGGCGTGTGGGGGGATGATTTTCATAAAAAATTTCAAATTAAAAAAAAAATTTGCGTTTTATTTTATTTCATTTAATTTTTTTTATGTTATTACTGCTGCTTCATAAACCTTAAAGGCAGTCGGAACATTCAGGGCTTCGCCCTGATACGAACAGTCTTGTTTGCTTTCTGTTGTTGTTCCGACTTTCGATACAAAAGTAAGGGAATATTTGTGCTCGGGATGGAATTTTGTTTTCTTCAGACAAATTTCGACTTTTTAACTAGCCATTTTCGACTGAATTTTTAAAAACCATTCAAAAGGTATTGTTCTCCTGAGCTTAAATTTGAAAAGATATTTCACCTGTGATCGTTTTTTGTAAAGTTATGGGGGTTTAAAGATTGCCATTTTGGCCAATTTGGGACAATTAACGCGCGATATATTTCGCGCTATTAACGCGCAAGCGGAGACTTAATCCGTCTTATAAATCGTTCGAAATTGGTTGAACGAAGCTTATTTGCTATAATTGATTTGTTACAAGGAACCAAATCTCTCTTTTTGTACTTTATATGGCGTGTGGGTGGATGATTTTCATAAAAAATTTCAAATTAAAAAAAAAATTTGCGTTTTATTTTATTTCATTTAATTTTTTTTATGTTATTACTGCTGCTTCATAAACCTTAAAGGCAGTCGGAACATTCAGGGCTTCGCCCTGATACGAACAGTCTTGTTTGCTTTCTGTTGTTGTTCCGACTTTCGATACAAAAGTAAGGGAATATTTGTGCTCGGGATGGGTTTTTGTTTTCTTCAGACAAATTTCGACTTTTTAACTAGCCATTTTCGACTGAATTTTTTAAAACCATTCAAAAGGTATTGTTCTCTTGAGCTTAAATTTGAAAAGATATTTCACCTGTGATCGTTTTTTGTAAAGTTATGGGGGTTTAAATATTGCCATTTTGGCCAATTTGGGACAATTAACGCGCGATATATTTCGCGCTATTAACGCGCAAGCGGAGACTTAATCCGTCGTAGAAATTGTTCCAAATTGCTAGAAAGAAGCTTATTTGCCATATTTGATTTGTTACAAGAAGCGAAATTTATCCTTTTGTACTTAATATGGCGTGTGGGGGGATGATTTTCATAAACAATTTCAAATTTAAGAAAAAAAAATTTCATTTAATTTTATTACATTTAATTTTTTTTATAAGTTATTACTGCTCCATAAACATTAAAAGGTAGTCGTAACATTCAGGGATGCGCCCTGATACGAGCAGTCTTGTTGTTCCGACTTTCGATACGAAAGTAACGGAATATTTGTGCTCGGGGTGGGTTTTTTTTTTCTTCAGACAAATTTCGACTTTTTAACTAGCCATTTTTGACGGATTTTTTTTTATATCGTTCGAAAAGTATTGTTGTCCTGAGCTCAAATTTGAAAAGATATTTCACCTGTGATCATTTTTTGTGAAAAATATGGGGGTTTAAAGATTGCCATTTTGACCAATTTGGCACATTTAACGCGCGATATAATTCGCGCTATTAACGCGTAAGCGGAGATTTAATCCGTCTTATAAATCGTTCCAAATTGGTTGAACGAAGCTTATTTGCTATAATTGATTTGTTACAAGGAACCAAATCTCTCTTTTTGTACTTTATATGGCGTGTGGGGTGATGATTTTCATAAAAAATTTCAAATTAAAAAAAAAATTTGCGTTTTATTTTATTTCATTTAATTTTTTTTAATGTTATTTATGCTGCTTCATAAACCTTAAAAGCAGTCGGAACATTCAAGGCTTTGCCCTGATACGAACAGTCTTGTTTGCTTTCTGTTGTTGTTCCGACTTTCGATACAAAAGTAAGGGAATATTTGTGCTCGGGATGGGTTTTTGTTTTCTTCAGACAAATTTCGACTTTTTAACTAGCCATTTTCGACTGAACTTTTTAAAACCATTCAAAAGGTATTGTTCTCCTGAGCTTAAATTTGAAAAGATATTTCACCTGTGATCGTTTTTTGTAAAGTTATGGGGGTTTAAAGATTGCCATTTTGGCCAATTTGGGACAATTAACGCGCGATATATTTCGCGCTATTAACGCGCAAGCGGAGACTTAATCCGTCGTAGAAATCGTTCCAAATTGCTAGAAAGAAGCTTATTCGCCATAATTGATTTGTTACAAGAAGCGAAATTTATCCTTTTGTACTTTATATGGCGTGTGGGGGGATGATTTTCATAAACAATTTCAAATTTTAGAAAAAAAAGTTTCATTTAATTTTATTACATTTAATTTTTTTAATAGGTTATTACTGCTCCATAAACATTAAAAGGCAGTCGTAACATTCAGGGATGCGCCCTGATACGAGCAGTCCTGTTGTTCCGACTTTCGATACAAAAGTAACGGAATATTTGTGCTCGGGGTGGGTTTTTTTTTCTTCAGACAAATTTCGACTTCTTAACTAGCCATTTTTGACGGAATTTTTTTACATCATTCGAAAGGTATTGTTGTCCTGAACTCAAATTTGAAAAGATATTTCACCTGTGATTATTTTTCGTAAAGTTACGGGGGTTTAAAGATTAACGCGCGATATTTCGCGCAATTAACGCGTAAGCGGAGAGTTAATCCGTCTTAGAAGTCGTTCCAAATTGGTTAAAAGAAGCTTATTTGCCATAATTGGTTTGTTAAAAGGAGCGAAATCTATCCTTTAGTACTTTATATGGCGTGTGGGGGGATGATTTTCATAAACAATTTCAAATTTTAGAAAAAAAAGTTTCATTTAATTTTATTACATTTAATTTTTTTTATAGGTTATTACTGCTCCATAAACATTAAAAGGCAGTCGTAACATTCAGGGATGCGCCCTGATACGAGCAGTCTTGTTGTTCCGACTTTCGATACGAAAGTAACGGAATATTTGTGCTCGGGGTGGGTTTTTTTTTCTTCAGACAAATTTCGACTTTTTAACTAGCCATTTTTGACGGAATTTTTTTATATCATTCGAAAGGTATTGTTGTCCTGAGCTCAAATTTGAAAAGATATTTCACCTGTGATCATTTTTCGTGAAAAATATGGGGGTTTAAAGATTGCCATTTTGACCAATTTGCGACAATTAACGCGCGATATAATTCGCGCTATTAACGCGTAAGCGGAGATTTGATCCGTCTTATAAATCGTTCCAAATTGGTTGAACGAAGCTTATTTGCTATAATTGATTTGTTACAAGGAACCAAATCTCTCTTTTTGTACTTTATATGGCGTGTGGGGAGATGATTTTCATAAAAAATTTCAAATTAAAAAAAAAATTTGCGTTTTATTTTATTTCATTTAATTTTCTTAATGTTAATACTGCTGCTTCATAAATCTTAAAGGCAGTCGGAACATTCAGGGCTTCGCCCTGATACAAACAGTCTTGTTTGCTTTCTGTTGTTGTTCCGACTTTCGATACAAAAGTAAGGGAATATTTGTGCTCGGGATGGGTTTTTGTTTTCTTCAGACAAATTTCGACTTTTTAACTAGCCATTTTCGACTGAATTTTTAAAAACCATTCAAAAGGTATTGTTCTCCTGAGCTTAAATTTGAAAAAATATTTCACCTGTGATCGTTTTTTGTAAAGTTATGGGGGTTTAAAGATTGCCATTTTGGCCAATTTGGGACAATTAACGCGCGATATATTTCGCGCTATTAACGCGCAAGCGGAGACTTAATCCGTCGTAGAAATCGTTCCAAATTGCTAGAAAGAAGCTTATTTGCCATAATTGATTTGTTACAAGAAGCGAAATTTATCCTTTTGTACTTTATATGGCGTGTGGGGGGATGATTTTCATAAACAATTTCAAATTTTAGAAAAAAAAGTTTCATTTAATTTTATTACATTTAATTTTTTTTATAGGTTATTACTGCTCCATAAACATTAAAAGGCAGTCGTAACATTCACGGATGCGCCCTGATACGAGCAGTCTTGTTGTTCCGACTTTCGATACGAAGGTAACGGAATATTTGTGCTCGGGGTGGGTTTTTTTTTCTTCAGACAAATTTCGACTTTTTAACTAGCCATTTTCGACTGAACTTTTTAAAACCATTCAAAAGGTATTGTTCTCCTGAGCTTAAATTTGAAAAGATATTTCACCTGTGATCGTTTTTTGTAAAGTTATGGGGGTTTAAAGATTGCCATTTTGACCAATTTGCGACAATTAACGCGCGATATAATTCGCGCTATTAACGCGTATGCGGAGATTTGATCCGTCTTATAAATCGTTCCAAATTGGTTGAACGAAGCTTATTTGCTATAATTGATTTGTTACAAGGAACCAAATCTCTCTTTTTGTACTTTATATGGCGTGTGGGGAGATGATTTTCATAAAAAATTTCAAATTAAAAAAAAAATTTGCGTTTTATTTTATTTCATTTAATTTTCTTAATGTTAATACTGCTGCTTCATAAATCTTAAAGGCAGTCGGAACATTCAGGGCTTCGCCCTGATACAAACAGTCTTGTTTGCTTTCTGTTGTTGTTCCGACTTTCGATACAAAAGTAAGGGAATATTTGTGCTCGGGATGGGTTTTTGTTTTCTTCAGACAAATTTCGACTTTTTAACTAGCCATTTTCGACTGAATTTTTAAAAACCATTCAAAAGGTATTGTTCTCCTGAGCTTAA